AAAAAAAAAAAAAAGAATGGGTTTTGCAAAAAGCTTGGTTTCCATGATAGATGGGTTGCTTCTGAACCAAGGGGTATGAGTGGAGGTATTTTGCTTATGTGGGCTAAGGAAATTCAAATAATTCAAATCATCAAAAGCAATTTCTGTTTTGAAGTTGAAGTTAGAAATGAACTGAATAATGAAACCACTTGGTTTATTTTTATCTATGCTAGTACTAATAAAGAATGCAGGGAGGAGCAATGGAAATACCTGGAGGGAGCCAGTGCCAAATGGGGAAATGACTGGGTGATTGGGGGAGACTGGAATGAAATCCTTCATCCATCAGAAAAGAAATGAGGTAGAAAGAAACAGAAAGAGAGCTGAGGAGTTTTCAAGACTTCTGTGCCAGAATGAGTATGTATGACATGAACATGGAGGGCCACAGATTCACTTGGGAAAACAAAAGAGCTGATGAAGGCTACATCGAAGAAAGACTGGATAGATTTTTTGCATCATATGGATGGATGGCTCAGCACCCAAGAGCCAGAGTATTAAATATATTTAGGAGTGCTTCAGACCATCATCTACTAGTCCTGCAAAAGGATCCTCACCAGCTTCACCACAAAAAGAGAAGATTTTATTTCGACAAAAGATGGCTCAAGATGGAAGGGGTCAAAGATGTGGTAAAAGCAGCTTGGGAAATCCCCAAATCTGGAACTCCAATGCACCAAGTGACAGAGAAAATTAAGGAGGTAAGAGTCAGCTTGCTGAAATAGAGTAGTGGATTCAGAAGAGAACAGGAGGAGAAGATAACCAGATTAACAAAGAGATTGGAAGAAATCAGAAGCCAAGGTAGCTCTAGAGACTGGAATGAATGGTTCAACAAGAAAAAAGAATTGGAGATGGAGCATAAGAAAGAAGCTGAATATTGAAGCCAAAAAGCCAGACTCAACTGGCTACAAGAAGGAGACATCAACTCTAAATATTTCCATTCAGTAACTCTTCAGAGAAGACAAACAAATAGAATCTCAAAGCTCAAAAAGGAAGATGGAGGCTGGTGTAAATCTCAACAGGAAATAGAAGAATGCATATCCTCTTTCTTTACAAAATTATTCACATCTGAAGGATCCCAGGAAGATGAATACATCTTGCAGAATCTTCCGCAGGTTATTACAGAGTAAATCAATAGATGCCTCATAGCTCCAGTCTCTGAAGATGAGATCAAAGAAACACTATTCACAATGAATCCCCTCAAAGCTCCAGGACAGGACGGTATGACCCCTAAATTCTTTCAATCTTTTTGGTCCATTATTAAAAATGACCTATGTACAGCTATTTGGAATTTTTTTGACTCATGCAAACTTTTGCAAAACTGGAATCATACACTCATAACCCTCATTCCAAAAAACCAACACCCTGAAACTGTTAGTAACTACAGACCAATAAGCCTATGTTCTGTAACTTATAAAATCATTTCCAAAATACTCTCTACAAGACTTAAACCCCACCTTCATCATTGCATCAGTATAAATCAGTCAGCTTTTGTTGAAGGCAAACAGCTATTAGATAATGTAATAATAGCCCAAGAGGTTATTCATTTTTTTAACAGGCATAGATCTGGAAAGCATCAGTTCATGGCTATAAAATTAGACATAGAAAAAGCATTCGACAGAGTAGAATGGAACTGCATCAAACATGTTCTCCTAAAATTTGGTTTTCATCCTACTTTTTTCAAATGGGTGTTAGCATGCATAAATTTTACAGCATTCTCATTCAACATAAATAAGGAACTTAAAGGTTTTATAAAAGCCATAAGGGGTATAAGGCAAGGGGACCCTCTGTCCCCAAATCTCTTTATACTTGTTTCAGAAGTTCTCACTAGACTTCTTAAAGCTGAACAGAGAAGGGGTAAATTTTCAGGGCTAAAGATCTCCAAATAAGGGCCATTCATATCCCATCTACTCTTTGCAGACGATGCATTAATCTTCACCAAGGCTGAGATTAATCAAGCCTACACTCTCCTTGATGTGCTTCACAGATACCAACTATTTTCTGGTCAGAAGGTTAATTTATCTAAATCGTCTGTATTTTTTAGTAAAAACACACAGGTGGGTGTGAGGACTGATATCTGTAAAATTTTTGATGGCATTAAAATACAAACATCAACGAGGTATCTTGGTTTACCTCTTGGCATTGGCAAGTCTAAGAAAGAATGTTTTAATTTTGTGCTTGAAGCTGTTAGAACCAAATTGATGAATTGGAAGAATAAGTACTTATCCACTGCTGAAAAAGAAATTTTAATAAAGTCTGTTATAAATGCCATGCCAATTTTTACCATGTCTTGCTTTTATCTGCCCAAAGGTGCATGCTAGGTTTTACAGAGCTTAAGTGCCTCCTTCTGGTGGAGCAAGGGTGATGATATGCAACCAGGGCTTCATTGGAGGAAATGGAACTATCTCACTACACCAAAACAAGATGGAGGATTATGCTTTCATGACATTCTCCTGTTCAATGAGGAACTCATACTCAAACAAATATGGAGAGTGGTTACAAAACCAAATCTTCTAGTGAGCAAACTACTCAAGGGAAAATACTTCCTATCCAAGACCATAATCAAAGCTGACACACCTCAGAGTGCATCATGGATGTAGAGAAACTGGATGAAGGTGCTGGAGAAACATAAAGTTGCATTTAGGATCAACATTCGAAATGGGAGAAACACAAGCATTTGGAATGATCCTTGGCTCCAAAATCATCCCACTGGGTTTCCTACACCTCAAAGCATGGCAGCCAGCAGTGTCAAATGGGTAAGTGAACTTATAAGTGATGATGGTAGGTGCTGGAATGCAGGCATCTTAAAAGAATTATTCAGCATGGAAGATATGGACAGAATCAAGAGCATAAGAACACTCAATCCTTCAGTGAGTGACCAATGGAGCTGCACTTATGACAAGAAAGGAATTTTCACAGCGGCCTCTACGTATTCACATTTGATTCAAAAAAAGCTGGAAGATATGGCCATAGCAGAAAGCAGCTGTGATAATGGCATGAGCAGAAGAGCTAGAAGAAGAAGTTGGAAACTGCATATTAAAGGTAAAATAAAACATTTTTTATGGAAATGCTACGTGGGAGTTCTGCCTGTCAACACTGAATTGAAAAAAAGAGGGTTTCAAGTAGATACTATATGTCAGATACGTGGAGAGGAAGCAGAGACAATTGAACATGTACTTTTGAACTGCACTAGAGCCAAAATGGTCTGGAAAATATCGATGTTAAATTGGGACGGCCTGGAAAATCAAACTGACAACTTCAGGAGGTGGTGGTGGAGTGCATGTGCAGTGGATAAGAGAATTATTTCTGAAGAAAGACTTCAGTTGTCCACCTACATATTATGGTGGCTCTGGAAGTCGAGAAATCTCTTCATATTTCAAGAATCTTTAATGCCTGAGTCTCAAGTGGTGAATGCAGCATGGAAAGAGTGGATGAAATTTGCACAAGCTCAAGCACAAAAAAGTGAGAGCTGAGGACAGGGCTAGGTCTCCAATGAGTTCAGTGGCCTCACAAGCATATGTTCATATTTCTTACCTTTTCCTTTTCTCTTTGAGCTGAATTTGTTAATATAATTAATGAGATATGTCTAAGGTTCAAGTAAACTTTGCTTAGATGTATTATTTTGTATGAACTAATCTAGGCCTCCTATTCAGGAGGTGCTCCATTGTACTATTGGAACTATTTAATCTCACGGCTTGTACATTATCAGTTGAATAAAATCTATCTTTTTGAAAAAAA